CGACAAGCCGGACTTTCATCCGAAGCATTGCTCAAGTCACAAATGTAGTTACCTTTTTGTGAAAGCCCAACATTTATGGACACACAATTGGGCTCCGTATAGACCACTTTCATAAATGGCTGCCGGATTAATATTCTTTTGCTTAAATTTAAATTAGCCTTTCTGGCCTCGTTCTCCAGTACAAAATTCAAAAGAATACATTATCTCAAGCGAGGCCAGAAAGGCTAATTTAAATTTAAACAAAAGGATATTAATCCGGCAGCCATTTTTGAAAGTGGTCAATAACACAGCATACTACAGCTGCCTTGATGGGGCACCTCTACAAGCCTCATCAGGTGGACTTTCATGACTTTGTCCTGTATGGGTTCTTTGAAAACAATGATTCAGCGTTCTTCACCTATTTGGTTTTCGAATAACAAAACAAGTTCATGCACAGTTTTGATTTAGAATAAGATAATAATGGCAGGGTAATATCCCCAAGAAATTGATTTGCCTCTAGAGACTTTGGATGATGTTTTGTTGCTGCCGTTCTGTACTCTGTGAGTTTTCCCTGCTAAGGTGTCCCAGGAGATTGAAACTTCTGCTTGTTTTTTTTACGAAAGAAAGAACTTGTCTCAGCAGGTATCTCTGTGATTTTACCCTTAGAATTTGAAAGTCCACTGAATCAAGTTGGGAAAACCAGAAGTGAGTTACCCGTCAAAGAGGAAAGCGATTGATTTACATCCCTTTAAAAGCCGATCCCAATGGAAAGAACTATTGAAAGGAATGACAGTCGTTTCGCCAACGTGTCAGTTCACAAACGTCAGTTCACAAACGTCAGTTCGCCACCGTATGAGGTTGAGTCGTCCACGTATAATGTCAGTCCGCCAACGTTTATATATCAGTTCGCCAAAGTCCAAAATAAATGTAATTACAAATGACCATTGGAATAAATTTTTACTTTTGTTGTATTCACGGGTGCTCGTAGGTTAGTATCGTTTGAAATCGTTCGTTTCACTTTGCCTAATCTCTCATTTCCTCGACGGCCGATCGTGTTTGAAAAAGGATGTAACCACTTCAAACATCTGGTCTGACGAAGGGCTAACGCTCGAAACATCAGCTTTTTTATTCGTTACGGTGGCCAATTTACAATTTCAACTTAGTTGATGTAACCAAATTACCTTGTTACCCCTACCGACACAGCAACACAGTTCTTTAGAAACTTTCAGCCTTTATTTATTTGATAGAAATAGGCTGAGATCAAATGAAGTAGGCTAACCTCCAGCTCCAAATATCATATCACAGCACATCGACTGTGTCTTTCCATAACCAGTTGGATTTAGCCAGTACTTGTTGCTAATAGCATCTGTTCCCTCACTTGCCTTTATTCCTTAGCAAGAAAGTGCTGGTAATTGCAGAATGGAACCCAAGGGTGCTGCAGTAGATAGTAGGTTAAAGAATAAATTCTGAGGACGACTACTTCGTTAATTTCCTAAAATCTTTACTCGGAAAAGGTGAGAAACTTAAGAGGATCAGCTTAAATGTGCTGGACTATTTCCTTTGAATTCTTCCATTACCTTCCTCGGATCTATTTAGTTATTTAATAGACCAACTTATAATTTGTATTCATACAGAAATTATGTTTTCTTTCTAATTGTACATACACGTACACGTTTTAACGAGAACTTCTGTACTCCTAGGTGTCACGTGTTTAAATAAAGGATTGATTGATTGATGATGGATAGCTAAAGGTATAGTGGTAATTACATCATTATGAAAAACATTGAAAGAATACTCTATATAATATCACCGACAAACCCTATCCCTAACCTTAGGTTTGTTTAAAAAATTCTCACATATCTGGCAACTTGAATATGGAAGTTGTCCAAAAAAACTCTGGATTACGTAAAGATGCTCCTGTGAAAGTTGCTCCCTATGAAAATACATAAACTTCCGAGTGTATAGGTCCCGCGCGCTATTTTCTTCCAAGAAATTCTCATTTGAGGGCTTTCGACGAAAAAAATGTGTAGCACAAGTAAGGCCTTCTCACTACATCATTAACTAGATACAACGCTCTGAAAAATACAATGTCCGTAAATCCCTCTTTTCAACATTTTTCCAAATAAAATCATACCTCTTCCGTTCAAACGCTTGATATAAAACCAACTGGGGGCCGAGCGAAAGTTCTCAGGCCTCGCCTCTTTGGTGCGGTTGTTTAGTTCGCAGATCTTCTCCTTTCTATTGTAGTTGTAGCTTTGGCAGATGATTTATTTTTTATATTGGATATCACAGATATGGGGAGTTGATGCTTACATCCTTTTTAAAAGGAACTTTTCAAGTATCCTCCCTTGAATGTTGATCTCTATCCTGCACTGTTCATTAGCAGATACGCAGTCCGCGATAAAAAGTAAGATGAAGAAACAAAAATTGGGCCGTAGCATCTTTCTTGTAAGAATAATAATTGCTTCGTGCGTCAGTATACGTCTATTAAGAGATCAAGTATACTGTGAGTTTAGAGAAAACGAAAGATAGATCAGAGTGCCCTTTGGCTCAAGCTTCTTGTCTAGCTGTTGCATTGTATGAAAAATTAAGAATGTTCTATGCAAGTAATTGCTACACTACAAAACAATTACTGGTAAAACAAAAAATGGGTGTCACAGATTAGGAGAATCTACTTTTTCTCTTTATTTGTCGGTTGTTAACATTTTTAATTATTCGAATCCATTGTTGTGCAGAGATTGTCGTGAGATTGAAGCACATGAATGGCTCATAATAAAATCATGTCCGGGTTTCCCAGAGTTTTTCCTCGACTTCACATCAAAACTGAAGACAAGAGAGGTCTCCTACCTTTAAAGAGGATACTAACACTCAGCCTTTTGTCGTGTTCTTCAATGATGACTACCATCCGGTAAGTTACTATCTCAAAGTTGTTGGCTGTCGTTATACACCTATGGTTTAAATCTAAAAGAACTACGAACCTATATTTGAATTATTTCCCTCTGCTTTATTAAAAGGCTAGACTGATAGCTTGAGCCTCTGCTTTTTGGGAAAGTGTAATGAATACAATATAGCTTCGATTAATACTAATATGATTGTGAATTAACTGTAAAAGATAATACCAGGTGAATGACAATTTGACAGAAACCCGGAACCCCGCGAACTTGAAATATCATGCCTTTCCACTAGATGTTTGACATCCCTTATGACTTTAGACGGCAAAAAAAGATGTTTCTTTTCAAGAGGCTTTATTTTTTTCTACTCTTGGGACGCATCTGGAAACATTTTTTGTTACTTCATTCTTCACAGACGTACTGCGTTATAGTTTCAATTCAAAGAGAAATTCATTGAGAAATTTAGAACAGTTAATAAATATTTCCTTCACTAAGGTTTGGTTAACTCCAACGTTTTTCTCGCTACAAATTATCATTACTTTTCCTTGACTGTATTTTAAATTACAGAACGTACTCTGATATTTTTTTGTATTTCGGCAAAAGTACGGAGCCAAAATGATGAACACTCGGTTAAGGCCTCCTTAAATAGTTTACGATTATCAGTGTGATGCATAAACTTTGTTTTGTCATTGTTTATTCCTTTAGAAGTTGGCAGAAATGGCTTTAATCCAGCATGATTGCAATTTTGCATATTCATACAATTTTTCTAGAATGTGTGGGACAATACTGCCTTGATTAATGAAAAGATGATGAACAATTTACATAAACCCGCTCAACAGTAGACGCTAAACTTGCCAGCCCTGTTACACTTCCACTGGAATTTCTTAACTTCTCAGGACAATATCGCTGTCTTGGCTTCAATCCTCCAAATATTTAAGCTAAATGATTCTTAGTTAGTTGCATGATTCGCTCGTGATCAGTTTAGATTGACGATAATGTAATACTATGACATCATAAGCTGTTAACAGGCTCATAAAAAGATCACCTGAAGCCCCTTTGTAAACCGAAAACAATATTAGCTTTCACTATTCTGCATTACAATAGGAGTTCGAGATCTGATTTTCCAAGGAACCCAAAAAAAATATCAATGAACGACCACGACCTTTATGGGCGTCTTCATTAGTAAAATTTTTACCTTTCCTGACTGTGCCGGCAACTTTTAAGAAATTTTTGTGAGTCTACCAATATCGTGAAATTATTATATATCTGAGAGATGTGCGCAAAAAATAACATATTCTTATATTTGGCATTTCCTCTGGGAGATCGAGTCACATTTGTAGAAGAGTAATAGATTTCTTTTTTTTTCCCATGACCTTTATTAGCACGTTCATTTGTAAAATTTAATGCCTGCAAGGTCCGTCCCGATTGTGCTCGGCAACTTTTAACCAACTTTTGGCGTTTAGAAGTACTTTGTTCTATTTCAGAAACATCGAGAAATTTTGTATATCTGAGAAATTTTGGCGCAAGATAAAGGCTAAGAGCACATATCATGGAGGAACAAGCCAATGATTTCATAGACAACTTCAATTTACATAAACCTCTTGAATGTCTATCAACCTTATTAACACATAACCTGTCATTTGACATCGTTTCGTGCGGCAAGTCGCATGTTTTGTTCCGTTAGATTGAAGTTATAAATATTTTTTAATTTAGCCCATATTTACGTAAAACTCTTCGAAGTTAAGTTTCAAGCTATTGTTCTTGAATGTATCCCGGAGCAACATTTTGTTGGCGCCAAGACCACGTCTAAAGGTTGTTTATAAATTCCTCTGATTGGGCGATAGGTAGCTATTTTAAAACTTTAAAAAAAGCTTTTTAACTCTTTAAAAAGATAAAAAAATGAGCTTCAAAATTTGAAATAATCGCATTCAGATGGTGTGCACACGTAGAAACTTAATAAAGAGCTACTTTACGAACAGCTGGAATTCAGATTACAAATATGAGAATTTCAAATTTCGAGCTCAAGAAAAAATGCTTGCTAACACGCGGCAGAAGGAAAATGAATGAGGCATTACTTCACGAATGAAAATAAATTAAGTTTAATTTGTGAATGGTGTCGTGTGTGATTTTCTCTATTCTAATGAACCTTTTCTCTCTTACAACAGACACTGTGTCCACAGGTTCAGAGTAAATATTTCTGAAGACCATTTAAATTGCAAATTTTAATGTGGTATTTGAGGGTTAAAATCAAACTATTTTGTCCACAATGTAAAATGATTTTTATATCAAAAGAGAGTTATTGGATATCTCTCAGTACGAGAGAGGGTTTATTAAGCTAACTAATATGTATTAATAAATTTAAGGTGCTTCTGCATAATAACCGAAGATTAAGCATTGCCAGAGTCAAATAAAACACTAATATTCCGCTATTTTGGAACCTGTTTTGGATGCCGTTACTCACAAATGACTTCAATACCTAATCTTGAGCAAAATCTGCGAAGATTTTTTACAGATATGGATTTTGTAAAGCAAATATTAAGAAAAGTAAATATGATGCGATTGCTGGCATCTAAAGCAAACGACTATCCTCGTTATAGTAGTAACGCGATGTAACGATTGTATTGTATAACAAGATGATCCAAGATCGTAAGTCGGGCTACAAGTAGATGTCGACGTGCTGTTATGAGTGTTGACCATTCGTGATGCGCAGAGGTTCTAAAAGAAATACTAAGAGGTACCAGAGCCCTGGTTTGTGGGCGTAGCAAAATTTTTTTTTTCATCCCTGAAAGACACCAATTCTACAACAACGCCCTGTCACATATTTTTGGTGCAATACCCTAAAATGTATCGTAGGAGCTGCTGCTGGGGACCTTTTGAAGCTAAACAGCCTAGGGGATACCAAGCTCACTTTTTTTAACCCCTAAAGGGTATAACAAGCACCCCAGTCCTTTTTATTTAAGGAGTCCCCCTTCCCAAGGGTGATTAGTACATTCCAATTGATGCGTGTGTTGAAAAAGATATATTATGAAATTGTAATCGTAATGGTCTGAGAGCAAGGAAGTATATTTCATCGTGAAAACATTGTATACGCAGCATACCAGTAAGGACCTTCCCTGATTTTCTCTTTGAATTAATTAATGCAGATATATCAATAGTTGGGATTGTCTCACTCTTTTGCTGATGTCTAACTTTGAATTTGATTATTTTTCTAAAATATATCTGTTGCAGTCTTTTCATTTTTGGAGTGGGTTCCAAATTACCATAACTATATTTTCGTCTGTGTTTTTGCAAGTGTCTGATTTGATGAAGGTCCATGTTAGATGTGCAAGACAAAAATTGCTTTTCGCAGTGAATAATACCTGTTTTAAGTTTCTTTGTAACAATGTTAGAAATAGCTTGTACCAATGATTATTTGTTGTATCGCCTTTATTATTACGTGTCTGCGGTATTGCCCATTGCACGTGACGGAGTTTTGTGGAGAAATCCGGTGGTAAACCTATAGTCGGTCGTCCGACTATTTATAGCCTTCTCAATCACGATCATAAAGTTGTTTTATAATGCTATTCTACTGTTGACCAAAAACACAGTGATTGTGCCTATCTATGCTAGCACAATGAAAGTACTATACTACGTCAAGGGCTGCTTCACCATACTTTTAAGGTGGCTTGAGCTGATAAGTTAAACTTTTAAAGTCAGTGCCTCTTCAGTTTTTCCCGTCAAAATCGTGAGGACAAATGATATCTCCTTTAAGGTCATCAAAGTTGATGTGACCCCAACTACCAGAAGACTCATCTATTAGTCTGACTTGCGCATATTGACCACTAAACTCCTCCACGTCCCAGCTCTTACGGTACATTTTCTCCCTACAGTTTCCTGTCTCAGTTCTAACGATCTGAACGTAAAGACAAACATAAACAGTTTTTAAACCTTTGTATCGACGATTGCTGACATATCTAACATGACTATATCGTACATTAATTCACTTGCAATGCTTTAAACTTAGGGGAAAAAAAAAAAACTATTGTTTCGAAGGAGGGTAAGCTAAAGACTAAAAAAGTGAAACAGTGTGCCAGACGCGAAGTTGGTTATCTCGCGGACTCTCCCTTAAGTAAGCTCAACAAAAGTAAAACCAAACGTTTTCGACACCTGGTTATCATCAGGGTCATCATCACCTCCACAGATGATGACTAAGGGTCGAAAATGCTTAGGTTTTACTTTTTGAATTTATTTTTCCCTGTAAATATGTCATTTTAGACCGAAGCGAGCTTTATGGATATCACGAAGCTCAAAATGGTTTCGCAATTTTGAAAGCCAAATCTGTGATAACTTGATCAATCAAGGAAGTTGTTTTAAAAGAATCAGAAGATAAATAATAGTCAAAGTGAATAATCTCACCTGGTTGTTGACAATAAGCTCCGCACGAATTTTATTTACTTTACATCCCCCACCAATGAGAAACAAGATATTCTTGCCAACGATACGAAAACAAGGTGAGATGAGAGTTCCCTTGGGTACGTCGGCTCCATCTGGATGCTGCAATCCTGCGGGATCGCTCTCTTTGGGCCGTTTCTCAGCTCCCCCCACCCACCAGTACCCTTGAGGCTGGGCGCTTTTATTGCGCGCGACTGGATTGTCACCAAATGTTGGCTGGTAAATGAAAGCACTGCCTGTCATTTCCCACCCGCCGATTCCATCTTCAAAGTCAAAGCTGCAGGCTACATTAATAAAAAGAAAAATCGAAATATTTTATTTCCCTGATTCTCATTTGGTATTAATTCCACTCTACAGTTTTGTATTTAATTACCCTTCTTGCAGTTTACACCAGTAAATCCTAAAGGACATTTACAACGAAATCCTTCATCAGTGTATCCAGCTTGACATGTGCCAATGTTGAAACAGGGACTGCTTCTGCAAGGATTCTGTTCAAGACAAAATGTTGAAGACAAAATCATCGCTTAGTTTACTTTCCCGGGATATTATGTAATCTCAAATAAGCACATTCTTGCTGGAACGATACCTTCTTGAAGCTTTTTTATAAGTTAAGAGAAGACAAGAATTAATTACACTTTATCAGTCATTAAACCAGTAAAATATATCAATCGCGGTACTGGATTTCAATGGGTCCCTTTATTTTAGCCACGGGTATCTTGTTGTTCTATCAGTTTTATTATTGTCAGTAGAGATGACACCACTGGTGTATCTTAGCGTTGGCATTCTCACTTCAGGTGACTCCTCATAAGTAAATAAAAGTTATCGAAGGATTTTTTTAGTGAAGTTTGCTTTGAAAGGTCTCCATCAATCTCTGTTTCTAGAACTACCATACAAAGGAAAACTTACTAAAGAGATAGTTAGTCAATCTTGCCGTATTTATGTGGGTTATTTCATAGCTTCACAAAGTATTTCTCGATAGTTTTAAAAAGTAACACTTGAAAAAGAAATCATTTATAGATAAGTAAAAGTTCTCTATTGTTCGTAACAATGTGATATTAATATAATATATGGAAAAATCTCTCAATTTCATACCATCGAAATCAGGTCAAAACGTTCCTCAGGGTACACAATGCAGTACTAAGGAATCATTTCAATTCAATACATGCACACGAATTGCAAGAGTAGTTTAAGAGGTAATCTATCAAACTGATCGCCCAGAATAATTGTTCATGGTCTAAAATAAGTCACTTTACCTCGATACTGAGATGAGTGTAATCCTGTTTACTCTGAAGGTTGGACGAGCCTGGACTTTCATCCGAAGCGTTGTTCAACTCACAAATGTAGTTCCCTCCTTGTGATGGCCCAACATTTATGGACACACAATTGGGCTCCATATAACACAGCACATTACAACTGCCTTGATGGGGCACCTCTAAAAGCCTGATTAAATGGCCCTTCAAGACTCTTTCCTGTATGGGTTCTTTGAAAATAATGGATCGGCATTCTTCACCTATTTGGTTTGCAAATAACAATTCAATTTCATGCACAGTTTTGGTTTAGAATAAGATAATGTCTGGGTAATATCCTTAACAAATTAATTTGCCTCGAGAGACACTGGATAATGGTTTGTCGCTGCCTTTTTGAATTCTAGGAATTTTCCCTGACACGGTATCCTAAGAGACTCAAACTCCTGCTTGTTAGTTTTTCACCGAAGAAAGAACTTGTCTCAGCAGTCTCTGTGATTTTACCGTTAGATTTTGAATGTGCACTGGATGAAGTTGTGAGAACCAGAGGCAAGTTACGGGTCAAAGAGGAAGCAATTAATTTCCATCTCTTCTTAAGTCATTCATACTAAAAAGAACTATTGAAAGCGACAAACAGCTCCCCCCCCCAGTCCCATGCCTTGAAGGTTGATCTCCTTCCTGCACTCTTCCTTTGTAGATACGCAGTCCACGAAAAAAACCAGGATGAAGAGACAAAAGCTTAGCCTAAACATCTTTCCTGTAAGAATAATATTTGGTATATCCGTCAGTATAATTTTATAAAGATATCATGCTTACGGTGAGTTTAGAGAAAGCACAAGATGGATCAGAGAGCACTTTGGCACAAGCTTCTTGCCTCCCTGTTGCATTCCATGAAAATTGGGAATGTTTTATGCCAGCAACTCTAACAAACATTATAACATAGCTTGTAAATTCGTGCAATCAAATTCAATAGCGAGAGCGTGCTTCAATTTTCCATGGTGCACTCTGCTGACGTCAGCAAACAAATGCCTCGCGAAAAAAAGTTTTTCTCGCGAGTGACCTCAGCATTTTTCATTAAAAAACGGGAAAAACTTCCGTCAAAAAGTCAAACTAGACATGGCAACAAGCGAACAAGCCGATGAAGATCTGCCTACTTTTTCTTTGGGAATGGATTTTTTAACTCCGGAGAAAGAACCCAAAGAAAGGGAAAACAAAACAATCAACGGTTTCTAACCTCATTTCCACGCATGAATTCACCTGTCAGTTTTTGACCAATTTGAGGCAAGATCATTGAAGCATGGCGAAATACTTTTCGGAACAAAATAAACAACGCATTGAAACGTAGGAGAGGGGAATTTCTGCCCTTTATGCATAAACTACAGCGTTGAAAATGTTATAAAACAATTGTTTCATTCGTCAGCTGTGAGTTCATCGAGATATGAAGCACTTGGGAAGTTTAGAGAGTACTCAAGAAGCTAGAGTTACTCGAGGCTACGCCTCGAGCAACTGTTACGCATCTTTCGTGCTGTCCAAACTTCCCGCGTGCTTCATATCTCGATGAATGCACGCTGACATATGAACCAACTGTTAAATTATCGGTAACAAAATAAGGATGTCACGGATTAAGAGAATCTACTTTTATGTGGTTTTTCTCTTTTTTTTTTTTGTCTATTTTTAACATGTTGAACTATTCGAGCGATTGTTGCGCAGAGATTGTCATGAGATTTAAGTATTTTTATGGCTTAAAATAAAAACAGGTTTCCATCATTTCTCCTCGACTTCACTTCAAAACTGATGACAAGTAAGGTCTCTTACCTTTAAAAGTATAGAACCACTTAGTCTTTTTTTTGTTTGTTTGGTTGTTTTATGCTGACCACCACCCGGTAAGTTTCTATTTCGCAGTCGTTGGTGGATGCTGTGAAGCTATATTTTAAATCTAAAAAAACTCCGAACCTTCGCCTGAATTCCCTCTCCTGCCTTAATGAAGATTAGTTTGACAGATTGAGCCACTGCTATTTGGTAAACGGTAATGAATACAAAATAGCCTCAATTAACAATTTTAATTACAAAACGTAACAGCAGGTGAATGACAATTTGACAGGTGCCCGAAACCCCGCGAACGCGTTCGACATCTCGGCCTAATTGTTATTGACAATACAAAACATTATTTTTGTTCACGAGGCTTTGTTCTTTACTACTCTTGGGACGCACTCGCATAAATGTTTTGTTAGCGCATTCCTCGCACACAACTTCATCTATCGTTTCAAAACAAAGAGAAATTGATTTTAGAAATATAAAAAAAGGAAAGCAGTTAATAACCGACGTCTTTGGCTGTAGCTTTGTCAATTCCAACTTTATCTTTTGTGATATATTTTTAGCAGGACAATTTGAACTACGTACTCCTTTTCGGTGAACTTTAATGAACAGAACGCCCCTTCCCATTTTCTATTTTATTCAAAGAAATGGATCGAAAATGATGAACACCTGATTAAGACCTCCTTAAGTAATTATAAAGATCTGCTTGATGCATAAACTTGGTTTTTTCATTTTTTATTCTTCTTCAGGTTGACAGGAATGGCTACAAAAACGACGGTCTTGCATTTGCATATTCACACAATTTTCCTAGAATGTGTGGAACAATACTAAATTGATTAATAACCTGATGATGAATGATTTACATAAGCTCGCTCAACAGAAGAAGCTAAACTGGGAGTCCTTAAACACAAAGGCCCGCTATATAAGGAAGTCTTCTCTGGGAAGACTTGGGCTCATTTGTCACTCACCGTTGACGTGTGCGGGTCAAATTTAAATGCTGGTAGACGAACAAAAGGAGGTAATGAGACATCTATTGTTTACTTCTACCAGCATGGTGGAATGAGGTAACGTGCGAACCACCTACTTCGATCTCAAATTTACCGCCACAAACAAAGACAGTTTCCATTGGAGAAAGGAATTACAAATCTCAAAAATTCTTGTATTGTGACGAAGAAATAAAACAATTTTGAGGAATGCGCCCGCTGTTCACTGCTTTGGAGT